TGGGCACGAGCAGAGGATACGCAGTGCAGCACTGGTGGAGCTGGATCGCGTCGTAACGTCAATCGCTATCGAGGGCACACCTCAGAATCGCACCGGCGTCCCAAACTGTGCCATTGTTTATTTGTTTCTTTAACGCGCGCGAAGCTCGGTGAGGTCTCTAAATATAAAATTGTGTGCATTTACAAAAGCATACACACACCAACTGCTTTATTCAGTTCACTTCATTTACAAATTGGAGCAAATTCGCCATGGGGGCGACATTCTTAGCCTTGGGCGGCTTTTAACAAAAGACCGCCGCATACTGGCACATTCACAGCAAGTTCCTGGGACTTTTGCCAAGGCATGCAGCACACGTCACACAGCCCCCCAGAGTCCGGCGAATCCGCACTGTCGGACGATGACCACGACTCAGCAGCCGCTTGTGGTCTCCGATCCTGCGCACTGTGCTTCCCGCGACCGAGTGCCGCTCGTCCAGCGCCCGAGACGGCACAGTCGAAAGCCGAGGGCCGGAGACAGCAGTTAAAAGCCAGGGACGCAGTCAGCGCAGGAAAAGCCGACAGCGCGGTCGGAAGCCAAGGCACGACCCAGCGGCATGACCAATCACGCCAAACAGATCACGCCAACCACCGGGAATGCACAATCGGACGGTGGTCGACGCGATGCTCGAATAATCTCCTCGTATGTGGCGGTTGGCGCTCGTGCCCGGACGAGACATGAGCCACCGCGGACGGCGCCGCGGACGGATCGGCGGTCGGACGCCGGCGCGGGCGGGCGCCGCTGGGACAGTGTGGCGGGCGCGGCCGGGCGCCGCTGAGAGCGGTGTGGAGAGCACGGGTGGGCGCCGCTGGGACGGTGTGGCGGGCGCGGCCGGGCGCTGCTGAGAGCGGTGTGGAGAGCACGGGTGGGCGCCGCTGGGACGGTGTGGCGGGCGCCGCTGGGGGCGGTATGGCGAGCGCCCCTGGGGCGGTGTGGCGAGCACGGGCGGGCGCCGCTGGGGGCGGTGTGGCGAGCGCAGCCGGGCGCCGCTGGGACGGTGTGGCAAGCACGGCCGGGCGCCGCGCCCGCTGGGGTGGTGTGGCGGGGGCCGCTGGGAGCGGTGTGGCCGGCGAGAACACGCCGACGGCCGGGCCGGCTGAGAGCGGCCGCCAAGGTCAGCCGATGCAATCAAGACAGGTAAACGCCGCCGAAGGCTGCCGCACCGAGAGCGCCGGCCGCTCGTCTCAAAACTGACGGGGTGGGGCGCCGAGCCCCGACAATGAGCACCAGACCGGAGTAAAGACCGAACCCCGACAATGAGCAACGAACCGGGGTAAAGACCGAATCCCGACAATGAGCAACAAACCGGGGTAAAGACCGAACCTCGACAATGAGAAACAAACCGGGCTAAAGACCGAACCCCGACAATGAGCAACAAACCGGGGTGAAGACCGAGCGCCAACAATGAGCGACAAACTGGGATGAAGACCGAACCCCGACAGTGAGAAACAAACCGGGGTAAAGACAAAACCGCACGCCTGAGAGCTTACGTTTCCAGATCAGGCGCCTGCAAACGAACTATTTATCACTTGTGACCGGATCTAGTGCTGATATGTACAAAGGCCTGCCTTCATGCAAACCTGATGAGTAGCCTTTACAAGAGGCGCTACGGCCGGAGGCTGTCTGATGGCATCAAAACTAGACCTTTGCCACATGCACAAGAATATGCAGCACGCCAACAAGCATGTCTGACATTGTGGAAAAAACGACCGACGTGAATATGCAACGTCATAGCCCATCAGTTATTCTAACCGCGGGCTGTCGGCGTCCACAAACACGCTGAAATGGATCTGTTGGTTGTTCGTATCCATGGCAACGCCACGTCCAGGGGCCATACAAACAGTCGTGGCCAAGTATCGTCCACCAAGGACCACAACCGCTGTTTACATAATGTCGGTCTCGGCCAAGCTGCCACGGCCGTTGCGACCTCGCAGCCAATACGCATCGAAAAGAACGACGGAACACGAACAGACAGCCTGGCTTTCCGAATCGAGGGGTGCACAGCGGGCCTACAGTCCAGTCTCGATTGGAGATAGTCCAGTCCAGTCCAGTCCAGTCCAGTCCAGTCCAGTCCAGTCCAGTCCAGTCCAGTCCAGTCCAGTCCAGAAGCCGGACACGGGAGGAGCTCACCCTTGACCGGCGGCGTGGAACGAACCGCGCGAGGCCCAACCGCCGATACGCGGCGCGACCGAACACGAAAGCGGGCTTATCTCCGTTTGCAGGCTCAGTGAAACGATCCATCGGTTGCGCGTCGGAGCGCGACGTCCCGAGCGGCAGCCGGTGTACCGCCACCCCGAGCGGCGTCGGCGCACCCTGCGCGCAGGTGCCGCTGGTGGGAGAACGGAACCTCAGACAGCCGGGGCGCGACGTCCCGAGCGGCAGCCGGCGTACCGCCACTCTGCGCGCAGGTGCCGCTCGCGGGAGAACGGAACTTCAGGCAGCCGGGGCGCCGCGACCGAGTGTGACACGCTGTGTGTCGACACGCCTGTGACGCGCACTGCTGGTGATGTCCCGCATCACGTGCGTGAGCCCGACAAGCGCCAGTGATTGAGTGGTGAGTATGTTTGAGAACGACGTGCGGGAATCCGTAGGCGCAGCACATCCACGCCGCGTTCCTCGCGGTGTCTGCTTTCTAAGTCCAGCAGTGGGCACGGAAAGAAAGCGCTAGTCGTTCGACGCAGACGGCAAATAAAGCACGGAAGAAAACGGGGAAGTCACGAATCCCAGAGCGGACAGGCAGAAGAAACAAATTCCTCCAGACGTCACGCATCGCGCTGTACAGAAGTCTCGAGCGCTGTCTCATCCCCACCTCCGTCGGCGCCGAATGCGTCCTCTGCCTGATTTGAAAAAAAAAACACTTTCTCGTCACGTACGAAAGCACACGGCTTCGAGACAACGCTGATGGACCGTTTGAGCTCATCAGTCTCGCACGGTTCTCCGGTGCTGCGGCTGGGGCGGTCTCCTGTGGCGTCTGCCCAGCAGTCTGCCTAGCGGGGCAGAGTTTCTGGACGCTGATTCGAGGGAGATAACGCGGCGGATGCCGGCGCCCGCCGGACTCTCATCCATCCATTCATCTTTACTCCACCCCTCCGCTCTCAATTAACTTGGACAGATACGCGGTCCATTTGTCTTCCTTCCATAGTCCAATCCAATCAAGTATTTAATTTCGATTTCATAAGCGAACGTACCGTAACCGAGCAGAAGATATATCTATCTTGGAAATAGGTGAACATTCCTTCTTGCACTAGCTGTTCGGGACCGTGCACTCCGCAGGCGTGGTGTTTTTTCAGCGTAAGCTCCCGTCGCTTTCCAAATAGCACATTGCCCAACACGCCACTAACAGCCTCAGCATGCTCCCATCCAGTGCAGCCCATTGTAATTGGACACAAAATAGTTCTGCAGCTTAGCCAGTGGGCTGGAACATCAAACCTCAATGACCACTGCCACAAAACGACCGAGACAAAGACGTTTGGCGAGAAAAACAGAGCTCGGTGTGCCGCGAAAAGCCCGCCACATCACCGTCTAACAACACACAACACGTGACTGAATGCGGCCATTAGACATGGGAGAATGGCCTGGGTCGGGCACGACCGGCTCCCCACGGAGGCTTCCCGATGAGAAGGCCACGAGACCCGGATTTTGTCCGCCGCACCCCGTCCCTCCCCCCAACACCCTCCCCCTCCTCATCCACGGCGGTGGTACGGCGCCGACCGTTCCAGTCCCCTCCTCACCGCGCCGCACCACTGTCACTAGAGCAGGTGGCGAGCATCAGAGCTATGGGATCACGAAGGTCGCGTGGCGGTGACGACCCGGCCCGACCGGGGCGGCCAAGGGCGGCGCATCACGGTGGAAGACGGGCGGCCGGCGTCATCACGACGCAGGTTAACATCACCTCGGCTGTCGACCTACGACACCGCATGGAACGACACGAAATTGAAGAAACAAAAACATCCCGTTCGCGGCCAACCGCAGAGACGCCGAGCCGTCCGGTTGGCCGTCCGGCGGCGGTCGTGGTGGCGCGCCACGAGGTGGCCGGGGAGCGCGCCGAGAAGTGGCCACCGCGTGACGTAACACCGTGGTGGCGGCGCGCCCAGTGTCACCGGCGCTGCAGCGGGGGGGGGGGGGGAGCAGGCGCCCCGCCGCCGCTCCCTCCGACGCACCCGGCGCACCGGAAGGTCGCGGAGGTGCGCCCGCAGGCGGCCGCGACCTGAGGTGACTGACCCCGGCAGCGTTCCGCTCTTGCTCGGCTGCCGACGCCGCGACCCGGGCGACAACACGAGATCGCCCCAGCGCCCCGCCGTCGCACCACATCACGTGTATCGGTGCGTGCGCGCGTCCACTTGCCGCGACAAAGCTGTGCGCCTGACGAGGCCAACCCCGTCCACCGTGAGGAATCGGCCAGGCTCCCGGCGCCGGGGTCAGGCCGCGGGCGGGTCTCAGCCCCGGAAAGGCTTAGTAGGGTGCGGCTGGGGAGTCACTGAGTCATACCGCCTGAGCGGCCCGCGCCCACTCCAGCACGCTCAGCCTTTTCAGACACGTCAGCCATTGCGATACCGTGCAGAATGCCGTACGAGCAGCATACTGCGCATGCGCCGTCCCTCCTTCGGACGTGCCAACTTAAGCCTCGCGTTCCGTAGAGCAATACGGTAGTAGCACAGGGTGTTCGTCAGCTGTACGGATCGGATAGATCCAATACCTGACTTACATGCCGCCCTGCCCATGCTGCGAGCTGGAAGTCGTTTCATATTCATTCCGCTCGTATTCAGCCTGCTGACCTGGCGGTGGCGGGGCCGGACTAAACTCAGCTACTCGTAACTTACCTTCACATTTTACTGACTCGCCTGGCGTCTCGCTCTGCTCGTCCCGGTAGATCCGGTGAACCGGCGTCACACTCACCGACCGATCTCGAACGCCATGAGGCTCTTCTCGTCCCGGTAGACCCGGTGGACCGGCGTCACACTCACCCGACTAATCTCGAACGCCATGCGGCTCTGTTCGTCCTGGTAGATCTTGCGCGAGGCCCGCTTCTCAGTCGTCAGCACGTTGAGTTTGTCGATGACCCCCGTGGCCAGCGTCTCGGCGTTGGCGCGGATCAGCCGGCTCAGCGACTCGGTCTCGTCCATCATCGTCGACCAGGCCTGCCGGTCGCACGGGGGGGGGGGGGGCTGGTAACGCGGCCGCGGTACCGGTCGGGCAGGCGGAGGGCACAGCGGTCGGTGGCGTTTAGCAGTCATGTATCAGCTGCGATCGCTTGACAATCGATAGTTCTCATGCTGCCTGGCACCGACTGCACGCCTCGATTAAAAATCACCGGCGGCGAGATCGGGGCGGTGATTTTAGAATCTATTCTGGCGTTCCGAATCACTGGTCTACAACCATTTGGAGAACATCACTATAGTTTATTTATCATAATGGTCGAGGGCAAATCGAGTCTTTAGTCTAGATGTACAGACAGAAAGTCGACCAATCGTGCCATAGTATCCGGTTGGGTAACGCATGGGTGCACGAGCGTGTGAAATCGCTGATAATAGATTGCGACACATTTCTGCGGACAAAACACCGCCACACGGTGCAGCAAAACTGCGAAAAACAAGCGGTTTGCATAACAAACGCAGCTACCGCAAAGCCTAACCGACCATCACGGAAGTCGCCGCACGGAAGCTTCCCACGCGCTGCCGCCTCTCCGACCCTAGCCGGCACCCCGCGGCCACTGACCTGAGCGATGAGGCTGCCCGCCATGTCCTCGGCGCGCTCCCACTTCTGCGCCTGCGCCACGACCTGCGTGAGGCCGGCGGCGTACTCGCGGTCGCACTTGACACGCAGCTGGAGGCAGCGTCGGATGGTGTCCATGAGGCGGAGCTCGCAGTCCTGGCGCGACAGCAGCGCCTCGTGGCTGGCGCGGCCCTGCAGAGCCGAGCTGAAGCCCATCCTCAGCCTGCCGCCGGGGGACGGCGCGTCAGCGGCGCGCGCGCGCTCACACACACACTGGCCGCGCTCGCGACCCAGGCACCTGCTGCCGGCGGCGCGGAGCGAGCCCGAGCGGCGCGGCGTCACACCGATGGCGCGCTGCCGGCGTCCCGCGCGGCGCTCCCACGGCCGCGGCGGCGCGGGTGAAAGTGAGCGCGCCGGCCAGCCGGTCACCTGCACGGCCGGCCGCGCGGCCCGCCCCCGACGCCGGCGCCGCCCCTCGCGCGCACGGGCCGGCCGCCGCGGCCGGTCGGTGAGTCAGCCGCCGCGCGGCCGCCGGCCGCCGCGCCCCGGCCGGTAAGCAGATGCGCCGCCCGGCACGCACCGTATCAACGCCAGCCGCACTCACCTGCTCCAGGCCGCGTCGATTAGTGATTCCAACCGCTCCATGGCGCGCGGCCGGGCGCCGGCGGCCGCGCCGGCGGCCAGGGCGAGCGAGCGCGCGGGTCCCGCAGCGCCGCGGCGCCTCGAACAATACCCCCCTCGCACTCGCCGGCCGGCGGCTGACGCCGCGTTAACAAGCCCGTCGCTGTGCGGCCAGCTTCTCCCCGGAAAGGCGGCCCCCTCTGGAACGGGCGCGAGCCATTGTCGACCGCCGCCGCCGGACAAAGCGGCGCCGGGACGTGTGACCGGGTGCACGCCTCCGGCGGCCGCTACAAAGCCGCAGGACAGTTATGCGCCGGTCGGAGCGGGCGCCGACGGCCGGGCGGTGAATGACGGGCCGTGTGAGGCCGTGGACGGATGGGCGATCATCGCGAGCGCGCGTTCCCACCCGGCGGCGGCCGCACCGGAACCGGCGCGCTCATCTAATCAAACAGCGGGCGATAATGGATGCGGCCAGCGCCGGATCGGTGCCAGCGGCGGTGGCGGCGCGGCCGTCAGACTTTGGGTGATGGGCGCCGCTGCCGACGACGAGTTTTCGGCCAGCGGGGGGCGGAACCACGCTCGGCTGCCGGTCGGCGAGCGGTGCGCCTCTGATGATCGAGCCACGTTTTGCTATCAACGCACCGCGACCTGACGGCAGGTCACCCTTCTGCTACGTGCGTGCCGTGGGCCTGGTGGCAGGGCTTCTCTAATATCTGCGAGCATAGCGGGCCTTCCGCTTTTGGCGAGAGGACAGTGTCACCGCAATGTCCCTCAGCAGCGGGTTGCTGGCGGCAGAATCACGCCCTAACACCGGCCAACAGAGACACGGCAGACCCATGGAGGCAGACCCACGGACACAAACCCCCACTTGCGTTAACAACGGGCCCGTGGAGCTCGACGGTGCTGCAGCAGCGGCCTCTGCCGGCCGGCGTTCGCTTCCTCGCCAGTAAACCGCGAACCAGACGGCACGACCGCCGCCGGCTTCGGCGGGCAGCGGCCCAACGGCGACGCCAATAATAAAGGCACGCCGTCGGTATGGCAGCCAGCTCGGCGCGCCGCGCCCCGCAGCCCGCCCGAGCTGGCTCTCCGACAGCAGGCGGGCGGGCGGCGCCGATTTCTGAATGGACCCGGAGGCAGCGCGCACTTCCGACGCCTACTAAAATTAGCGGCAGCGCCGCGCCAGCCGCTCGGATATGGACGGAAGCCGACGAGTCGCCGCCCGGACGCCACGCGGGTCCAAAAAGCCGCCCCCCTACCGACGCCGGCCTCGCATGCGGCACGACAGTGACGTAAGGTCCACAAGCGCCGGCTCCGCCAAAACAAACGGCGGGGCCATTAAGCTAGGGCGTCATCGCGAATCGCAGTGCGAGCGCCGATATGAATGGCATAAGCACGTCACGCCCGAACTAGACAAGCGCGCACGGGACGCCAATGGCCTATCAATCGCACAAGCAGCAACGCAAGGGCCCCAAGAGGTGCCACGATCGACGGATCAGGGGCTGAGGGACCGCCGGGCGGACGGCGGGACGACGGCGGCCCGGGTCTGCCCTCCGCGGAGCTGAGACGGCTGCGCGGCGACGGGCACCGCACGCGCGCACAGACCGCGCACTCGAGCCGCACTGACAGCCGGGGGCGCGCCCTCGAGGCCACGCCGGCGCCAATTGTGCCGAATCAAGCCAATTGCGGCGGTTTGCAGGGCGTTATTTTGGCCGACGCCGGCGATGCGGCTCCTCGACGTCACGGTCAGGTGCGGCACGTGACGGCGGCCACCGGCGCGGCACGCAGCGCGTCCGGCCGCGCGGCGGCGGCGGCGGCGGCGCCCCTCCCACCGTCGCGGTCACGTGCGGTGACCTCTGCTCGGCGCGGCGCGTCCCCCCCCCCCCCCCCCCAGCAGTGGAAGCGATGGGACGGACAGGGGACCGGAGCGGTGACCCGACGCGTGGGCGGACCGCCAGCAGCTGGGCGCGCTGACCCAGGCCGGCGCCCGCGGGCAGCGTCCGCAGCGAGCGCCGTCACACTCGGGTGCGTGCCGAACGGAGGACGTAGCGGATCGTTTGGTCCTTTCACGGCTCATTCAGCTGGCGGCTGCACGCTTCCGAGTGAATTCCGGCACCCGGCGGCCCGTTGGTTCCGACATGCCGCTGCTGGCGGCTTCCATGAAGACTTGTCGTGACAGGAAACCGCGCAACCGTAATGGAATGCACGCTTGCGGAGACTCGCTGGGAAACAGCCAGCGACGTTGCGTACAAAACTTACGGAGAAAGAAAGGCCACGAAAACGCCTGTGTGCTTTTCCAGCCAACGATTGTCATGCCCCACCGACCACACCGTTCTTTGCTTACGCTTGCACGTCCGGCGCGGTCAAGTGGTCCGCCAACTCCACCTTCGTTCTCTCACGGCTCGCGGGGAAGCCAATGAAGCCTGGTCCCTCCACGCGCAAAAATCGACCCACGCACGGAACTAGGCTCTGGCATCAACGCCAGCCCACCCAGCTCGCTGGTTTGGCAGAGCTGGACGGGTGGGTGGTTGCATCTGCGATCAGATCACGCATACGCCTCTCCTCAGAATGGACCCCGCTGCGGCTTGGCACATACTGACACCGATTGGCTAACAACACACGACAGCCCGTGCATCCCGATGAATCAGCGCAACACTCAGCCCCCCCCCCCCTCCCCCCCACAGGGACGGCCGCAGTTGGTTGCCATCCCCGCTTCCGGCGGTGGGCATCCACACCAGGCGGGTAATTGGCGCTTTCGATAACGTTGAAGGCGACAAACCGAGCAAACGGCAACTATATCGGTAGTCGAACACCCGGATCGGCCAGCTGGCCTACACAGAGTGGATTTCGCTGACACGCCCCCCACCACGCCAGCCAGCCGGCACCATCGACTGGAGGCAGCCCCGTCCGCCGTCGGATGAAACACACGGCGGCGGCGCCGCAGACCGCACCGGCCGGCCGCCCGACAACAGGCCCGGAGGGGTCGGGCCGGGCCGGACCGGGCCGAGTCGGGCGGGATCTGGCACGGCCGGCCGGAGGCGTCGCGGTCGGCTCGCGTGAAACGTGGGCGTGTCACGTCAACGGTAAGCCCCGGGCTCCGTGACAGGCCCACGGCCGTGGCGAGCTCGTGCAAGCTTAGTTCACACGCGGCGCTAGGATTGACACAGTCGTGAGCCGGGCGTTACTTGAAACGGGATACGAACATTACCGGGGTCAATGGTCACATGCTGACACCGGCACCCTTCACAACGCGCGTACATGGATCCGTACTTGTCGGCGAAATGCAAGAAAGACGGCAAAGCTAGTTTGTCCCGGCGAGATCCTGTTCGGGATCGGACCACCGACGCATTCATGGAGAAATTTCAGCCAACCAGCTCTCCATTTGGGGCCGTCCAGTGAATGGCTCGCACATCCATACGGAGGATGCGATGGGCAGGAACATGCGCGCTGAGTCCGACGCTCCTCATGAATCGGAAGCCAGCTGGGCGAGCTGCCCCTCCGCACAAGACCAGCGCCGGGGCCGGATGGACCGCCGCACACCAGGCGGCGCTCCGGCTGGCGTGTCGGCGCCGAGCCGCGGCAGCTCACCGGCCACAGCCGTCAGCGAGACGCTGCTTCTCGGAGCGGGCGCCCGCGCTCGACACGCGTATGTGCGGCAGACAGACCTGTCAGCGACTCGACGCGCGGTAGTCTGGCAGATAGACTTGTCAGCGACTCGACGCGCGGTAGTCTGGCAGACAGACTTGTCAGCGACTCGGAGCACGGTTATCTGACAGACAGACCTGTCAGCGACTCGATGCACGGTTGTCTGGCAGACAGACCTGTCAGCGACTCGATGCAGGCTGTCTGGCAGACAGACCTGTCAGCGACCCGGAGCGCGGTTGTCTGGCAGACAGACCTGTCAGCGACTCGATGCACGGTTGTCTGACAGGCAGACCTGTCAGCGACTCGATGCACGGTTGTCTGGCAGACAGACCTGTCAGCGACTCGGCGCACGGTTGTCTGGCAGACAGACCTGTCAGCGACTCGACGCGCGGTAGTCTGGCAGATAGACTTGTCAGCGACTCGACGCGCGGTAGTCTGGCAGACAGACTTGTCAGCGACTCGGAGCGCGGTTGTCTGGCAGACAGACCTGTCGGCGACTCGAAGCGCGGTTGTCCGGCAGACAGACCTGTCAGCGACTCGAAGCGCGGTTGTCCGGCAGACAGCTTCACCAGCGACACGCCGCACGACGGCCGGGCAGACCGGCGCACTCTGGTCAGCGCCCAGCCGCCGGCAACACAGCCACACCTCAGACCGGGCCCGCACCGTGTGCCGCTGCCAGCGGGCCCCAGCGAGGCAGCTCTGCCGAGCGCCGCCGACTGTGCCGCGCCGGAGGTGCCGGCAGGACGGCTGTTGGGCCGGCTCCAGCCGACGCCGGGCCGCCGGCCGGACCGGGACCGTTTTAGCCCGCGGACCACACCCACCCCCGCGCTGGCACCGCGTCCGCCGGAGGCCGGGCGTGGCCACGCGGTGCCCCACCACGCACGCGGCCAACTCGGTGACGGAAAACGGGCAAGCCGTCTTGTTGTCCGTCCCAAACACCAACGAAAACAGATGTGGGAGGGAGACTGGGGACCTTTCATTGGAGGTCCTCGTCGCAGCATCAAAGTTTACAGAGGGCATAACTTTGCATGATAAAATTAGCTGTACAATAACAAAATCCAGCTCTTGTGCTTTATTTAAATGTTATGACAGATTACATAGATGTGATGCATTGCCAGGAAGGAACAAGAGCACTTTACATCCTGATAATGCAAGGTGACAATGCCAGTAATGGGCGTCATTGCATATGGTTCCCTGACCTACATTGCAAAGCTACCTGCGTTTCAAAGAATGGCACCAATTTTCACTGATGATGGCCTCCAGCCACAAAACATACTTATGATGTTGATGACTGACGCAGAAGGATAAGGACATGTCGATGGCGGCGGTCATTTTGCGCCCATCAGGACAGACTCATACACAATAAAACATATATAAGTGGCTGTTGATCCACTTTTAGGCAATTTTCATTTGCATTTGTATGTTGAATTACATTCACAGCTTTTGGATGCAATGCTGAAAAAGATGCAAGGTCAGGCAGATGGATGAAGAGGCTGCATCACCTCCCAATGATCCAATATTTTGCTCTGGCTCAGTGTTTAACACACATTCACGCCTACTGCAAGTGTACAAGGATCCAGTAAAGCCATAATGTTAAACATGTTTTCAAGTATGCTGTTGCTTACATGACAATCACTTCACACCTAGGGTTTACATGTGTTTGGACATCATCTTGAGTCAAATACCCTACATTTCTGACAATTTGCATAATATCCAAAACTTGAGCCACATTCTTGTTAGAAACCTTGATTTCTGAATGATGTTCATGCATCTCAGGTGATGCCTAAGTTCATTGTAGGTGGTATGTGCTTCTGATGGATTTTGACAAACTCTTAGGGTTTGAATAAAGGTGGTTTGGGTTCATTTCCTGCATCCACTGATTCTAGATTCCAATGCCAGGCCATAAACTCATTGGGCATAACTTATGATTTGGTCTTGATTAAACCCACAAACAATGTGTCAATGTCATTCCAGGACATTGTAAATTGCATCAAAACATTCCTTGCACTACATAATACTACATCTTTACTATCCCTACTGAATGAAGCCATCAAAAAGTCTGTGGTTCTGACCTATTTCCATGGTGGCCTTTCCTTGGACACTAGTTTGATCTTACATCAGACCCTATGGTGATCTCACAATCCCTTTATACCCATTTTGCAAATCACAAAGCCATGAAAACATGAAGACAACATACTTGAAAAAACTGGCCACAGGCAGAGTAGTTGGCTCAAAATTGCCTCCAGAACTTCTTCAGTCAAGACCTGCAGATACATTGCATTTCACAACCCTCTTTACCCTGGGATCTAATGACCAGACCAAATACATGTTAAATGGTAGTTGACATCTGTGGTCATTACAATTAAACAATGGTAGTCTGATCAGTGATAGCACCATTGGTAATATCAAATACTGAAAACTACCCCATAAGTTTATAGCATTGCAGTGCCTTTAATGAGTGTGACTGCAACTCCAATCAAACAGCCAAATGACAGAACACATTTTCTGCATTGCAAGCATGTCAAATCATCAATACAGTATATCCATCATGATGGTACAAATTTTTATGTGCAGTACTGACTGTGTCATACTATTAACTGCTTTTGAAAATGCTACATCATTTATATCAAGACATGGTAGCCAATCAACTTGAAATTACTTTTAGCACTCGGCATTAACTGGTATATTCAAAGGGAAATAAGATTGGTACTTGCATACCACAACTGCTATAAGAGTTAATGCTATCTGTATAAAATTATGACACTTATCTGGCATCCAAGGTAACTTTGCAAAGTTTGATTGCATGTTCAAAACATGTGCCTGCATTCCTATTCAAGAATATGAGGAATACTGATATAACTCTGCCAGTACAGTATTGCCACAAACAAAATGGATGTTGACCCTGCTACCACCCCCTGTTGCAGTAGTAAAAAAAATAAAAGGGGTAAAGGTAGGAGTAGGGTTAGGTTATGCTAAGATGGGTTAGGTTAGATTAGGTTAGGTTATATCACATTAGATTAAATAAAGCAAAATTGCTGACCTTATTAGGCCAGCAATGTCACTTGTTACTACAGTGCTCAGAAAAAAGCAAATCCTACATTCTACAATGATCCTACACAAAATGCATTCCATGCTGCATGGCACAACAGCCATGGGGACCAGTTTGTGGGCACATGTGTTACTAATATCATTCCACTCCAATTATCATGCAATAGTTCGGGAAATACGATGTGACATGCTGAAGCAAGAGCATACCAATAGCTACAATCATCGTAAGTGATTATTAATGCAGATTTTGCCAGAAGGATTTCACTTTGATCACAACCTACAAACATGCAGAGTACCAGCGCCATATCCACAGCAATCCACCCAAGAAAACATACTGAGTGACAGCTTCATGTCAGTGTAAATTGATTAGACATCAACATAAGTGCAAACAGCACGATTACAAATCATTGGCGGGAAATAAGTAACTTCGCTAACACGTCCTGCCCGCGATACCACGCACAAACACAAACACATACGGTCCAAGCAGTTTACTTGTCATGTTTGGTCCTTCCCTTCCGGAATGGGAGGAGTAGCTTACCAGCAAAGAAGTGTAAGAAGTGAAGATCTCGAAAAGATTCAGAATATTGGCTCCGTGGTAAAACCAATGCAATAAAGAAACGGTGTGAAATGGGCGGGTGATAACCGCAACCAGTGATAACTCACATCAAACGCACGCAACCCGCAGCATTTCCGTGACGACTGTTACGCTCTTGCGCCTTTTGCGCCATATATGTATAACATTAAGTTTTGCGCGTGTGCGACATAATGTGACGCAAACTATAAATCCTGGTTTTTTCAAGGTCTTGCATTTTCGCCTTCATTTTCATTATATATTTCGTTGTTAGGGTAGGTGGTAGAAACGTCACGAATGTTTTTGAGATTTGATGATGTGTACCTGCTGAGTGGGTCAGAAAGGCAATCCTCAAGCTGTCTGAATCTCCTGATGTGTAACAAATGACATCCTCGTTTTGTTCAAAAACATGCTCATTAATACTGCAAATCCCAACAGGCACCAGGGTGTGTCCTTGGATCATGTGTGCTTTTTCGACCGGTGCATTTCATTACCTCTCAGTCAGGCTTAAATTTTCTCAGATAGGGTCAAGGATTGTTGTCTGGAAGTTGGAAGGCAGTGGGGAAAACACCCAAAGGTTAGGGTTTGGAATTGTTCACATGATTGTGCTACAGATTTGTGTTTTAGTTGTGGAGTATGAGGTTATTTGAGTGATAGTGACTTGGAAAAATTGTTAAGAAATTTGTGATTCATTTTGAGAAAGTTAGATAAAACTAGTTGATGTAAATGGTCATATTTTCAGGCAATTGTAAGTTAAAAAGCTGTGCATGGCAATAAAAAACTTCCATTCTTTTTTGTCACCAGCTTGAAATGCTTAGTGTCATGTTTTCATTTCTACCAGTGGATTTAAATGTATCCTACACTGGTGAAAGATGTGATTAATTATTTTCCTATTTTCAACCACAAATTTGGTGACCTATGTTTTCTCTTCACCAAGGAATGTAACACATGTTTCAAGTTTTGGTACACAGATACAGTGATGTGTTTATTAAACATGTTTTAAATTAATTTAGAATAGGCTGTTTACCCATGTGTTTGTGTTTTGCAGGTTCAGCTTAGAAGCTGTGGAGTGTTTGCATTGTGCAGTGTAACTTGTCACTGTTGGTTTTGCTACTTGATCTTCCCAGAATTTGGAACCTGTGACTTTCTAGTTGAGATCAAATCAACTGCAATTTACATTTTTGGCTATGTCTGCACTCCTTCACCAACGACTGCGGACCAGTGCAGCTCTTGGGCGAGCCTTCACCAGGTTTAGTTCATCTGATAGCAAAGTGAAGGTTTGTAATTCCTTGTGCTTACTTTGGGCTGTCCTGGACTCATGCTGTCTCATATATTCCATTGCTGTTTTAGGTACTCAGACTATTTAAAACTATTTCATTCATGGGATAGCTTTTCTTCCAGAAGAAAAGTTTGAGTTGTGTGTTTCTCTTGCAGAATGAAAAGTGCATTTGGGGGCAGTTTGTTTTTGCTTAATATGGTGCCTTTGAAAGCACACAGTTCATGGACATTATTTGCACTCTGAAATCATGGTGCAATAGTTAACATATTGTTTTGACATGTGATATGAAACATGGTCTCATAGCCTAGTTAGCCATGCTTCTTCATTCTGTCATGTTGCAGAATGGGCTGGTGCTTTGTGTCTACAAAGATGGAGATAAGTGTTCAATGACAACTGAAACCAAAAAGTTTAATGAGAGGCTTGGTGGTCGCCTCACAGAGCTGCTTGAATGGTGGGTGTTATGTTTTTCATGCTTCATTGGTCTGTTACCTGTGTTTTTTTATAATTATGAGCATGTGCATCAGTATATGGATCCCTAATATAATCAATGCTATGTCATGAGCCATTTTTTCAGTATTTTGTGCATTAATATGAAGCTAATATGGATGAATGGCAATGAATGGTTTTGGTAACTATTCTAAAAATATGCTTCATTCTGGTGCAAAACTGATGTAATCATGCATTGCTTTATTACATCTTAGTGACCACAACAGAGCATGATGGTCTCACATGTGACTGCTGTGAGCCAGTACAGATCAGCACAGCCACACATTTTTAAGCCCCAGCTTACGCCTGCGTCCTCACTCCGTCCGCGTGTGCGACAGTGCCGGCATCTCGGGAAAGCTGGCCACGCCGCGGCTGCTGTACGGCCTGACTGCCGAGTTCCCTTGCGTGGCCGTGGTCGGGCTCGGCGAGCGCGCCGAGCAGACGGTGGACGACGCTGAGAACGTCCACCAAGGCCGCGAGAACGTCCGCCACGCCGTCGCCAGTGAGTGCACCGTCCATGGTGTACACCTGTCGGCTGTCTCACGACACTGAACCGGTGCTCTTCGGGCGCCACCGTCGTCGTTTGGCGGTGACGGCGTCTGACACTGACACTGACGTGTGCGTGTGTGTGTACGTGTGTGTGCGTGTGTGTGTGCGTGTATGTGATTGTGTCAGCTCTGCAGGGTGTCAGCTGCAGCCATGCGGTGCGTAGCATTGGCAGACAGCATGCAAGCCCTATGATGCGTGGGCCATAACCACGTGTCAGCCGTGTGTTACGTAAGCCCCAGCCATATGACGTCGACAGGCGGCGTGACGGCCCTGCGTGACGTCCAGTGCAGTCACGTGACGGTGGAGCCGACCGAGCACGCGGAAGCGAGCGCCGAGGGCGCGCACCTGGCGCTCTGGTCGTACGACGAGCTGAAGGCCGAGGCCGACCGTCAGCGGCCGGTGCAGCTCAGCTGTGCCGGCGGCGACAGGTGGGCGCTCCTTGCCGACCGCGCCGGGGATCCGCCGGCCCGCCCTCCAGGCCGTCTGCTGACGGTGACAGGGCCGCGTCCCTGTCCAGCGTACTTGTGGTTTGTTGGATTAGATGTCATGGTTTGGTGTTGCATTTGGGGCTTGTATGGTTGGCATAACGTATGCTATCTCGGTGTAGGCGATTTTGATAGGTGTGGTTACGCGACTGTGGCTTGAAAGCTATCGGTTCAGTACTCCTGCTTTTGTTTTGTCAGTGAGCTTTGGCGCCGTGGTGCCCTGAAGGCTTCCGGACAGAACCTGGCGAGGACACTGATGGAAGCCCCAGCCAACTACCTGACTCCCACGCTCTTCTGTGAGGTCAGCATTCTGTGGTGTCGGTCAGGTGTGACTCAGCGGATCTGTGAGGTCGGGAGTAACGCTCTTCGGATGCAGTGGCGCGGACTTGTGCGTTAGAGATTTAGATTGGGTTTTCGGTTGGAGTGGCGATTTTTAGTTGGAGTGGCGTGGCGAAATACAGCTGGCCCACCTTGTCAGCTGTTTGGGAAGCTCCTTTACGTGCGACGTGTGACTTCTATGCATGGCAACAGGAAAATGAAGTTAGCGTAGCATTGAATTATCTCAATGTAGATTGCCAATGCCAATGCTCATTCCATAAAATATTCTAAAACAACCGAAGTGTCTGTTCTTTGCTTTATTGCACACGGAGGGATGGATGTGGGTTCCGACCCGTGCCCGGCTGCGCGGTCTGCAGTGTGATCCCTCCCATCGGCAGCGTGTCTCGGAGGCCATGTCTTCGCTGCCGGTGGAGGTGGTGGTGCGGGACGAGGCCTGGATCCGTCAGCGAGGCATGGGGCCTTCCTTAGCGTGTCGCGCGGATCGGCCGAGCCGCCGCGCTTCCTGGAGCTGAGCTACAGCGGCGCCGGCGCCGACGCTGCGCCGCTCGCCGTCGTCGGTGAGGCGATAGGGATTCCCCGCCCGGCGAGGGGACTCCCGCTCCCGCCCGGCGAGGGGGCTCCCGCCCGGCGAGGGGACTGTCGCCCCGGCGAGGGGCTCCCGCCCGGCGAGGGGACTCCCGCCCGGCGAGGGGACTGTCGCCTGGCGAGGGGACTCCCGCCCGGCGAGGGACTCTCCGCCCGGCGAGGGGGCTCCCGCCCGGCGAGGGGACTGTCGCCTGGCGAGGGGACTCCCCCGGCGAGGGGACTGTCGCCTGGCGAGGGACTCGCCGCGGCGAGGGGCTCCCGCCCGGCGAGGGGACTCCCGCCCGGCGAGAGGGCTCCCGCCCGGCGAGGGGGCTCCCCCCGGCGAGGGGCTCCCGCCCGGCGAGAGGGCTCCCGCCCGGCGAGGGACTGTCTCTGGCGAGGGGACTCCGCTCCCGCCGGCGAGGGGACTCCCGCCCGGAGAGGGCTCCCGCCCGGCGAGGGGGCTCCCGCCCGGCGAAGGGACTCCCGCCCGGCGAGGGGGCTCCCGCCCGGAGGGGGCTCCCGCCCGGCGAGGGGACTGTCGCCTGGCGGGGGGCTCCCGCCCGGCGAGGGGGCTCCCGCCCGGCGAGGGGACTGTCGCCTGGCGAGGGGCTCCCCCCGAGGGGACTCCCGCCCGGCGAGGGGACTGTCGCCTGGCGAGGGGGCTCCCGCCCGGGAACGAGACTCTCGTCCGGCGATGGGACGCTGGTCGGAGGACAAAGAGGTGCTGTCTTACTGTTGCTGTGTGCCGACGATTGAAGGATCGCGTCCGAGTGCCGGGAAGGGGGCAGGAATAGCAGAGTGGCTGAAATGTGGGGTGTCCAACGGCAGCCGATGTGTTGCGTGGCTCCGATTTTAGTGGAAGCGTTTAGGACTGTGGTCAAACAAAGGCTAGGTTTCTGTTCAATTTTGGGCCGGCAGCAACCATGTGCGAAGATTCTCACCGAAACGCTCGTAAATTGTCTTTACTGCACGAGCATTGTTTTGCACAACTGCACACGCGACCGCCTGCCTTTCCTCCGCCCGTCACCGCCTCTCTCGCCGCCAGGCAAGGGCGTGACGTTCGACTCGGGCGGCATCTCGCTGAAGCCGGCCAAGAACATGGACACGATGCGGGCGGACATGGGCGGCGCCGCCTGCACGGTGGGCGTGCTGTACGCGGCGGCGCGGCTCGGGCTGGCGGCCAACCTGCGCGCCTTCATACCCCTCTGCGAGAACATGCCGGGCAGCCGCGCCACCAAGCCCGGCGACGTCGTCACCGCCATGAACGGCAAGACCGTGCAGGTGCGGCGGGCGCGCACGGCTGGCCGGCCGGCTGGCTGGGTTCCCAGCTGTTGGGTCTGGTCGGAGGCAGCCTGGACAGTGATCTGCTGGCATTGATGCCGTGTGGTTTAGCGGCTGCTGTATGTTGTAACACGTGCAAAGTGATTGCATCCCGAGAGTCGGTCATGTCAGCCTCGCATGAGCCACGTATTACTTGAGAGTGTGGTACGTGACGTGCCAGTCTGGCGGTGTGGTCCACGTTTGTGTCCTGGAACCGTGCGCTCTGATTCTGGGGCCATAAACGAAGTATTCTGTTGTCGACGGAGATGCAGCCGTCGGTACACATGGAGAGCTAGAGATGCTAACAGCGCAGTGTTTTGGCTCAGCGGGAAACAGAGGGTGTCGTGTTCAAGCAAGTCCGTGCCGTTGTACCGCATCTGGTGTATCTGCGGCGGATCCTCAGTGCCTCCCACGTGCGTTTGTCCGGTCCTTTGCACCCGGCCACAGTAGTGCGGTACTACCCTAACCTCGGTCGCTGCGGTGCGACCTGACCTCGGTCGCCGCGGTGCCGCCAGGTGGACAACACGGACGCCGAGGGGCGGCTGATCCTGGCAGACGCTCTCTGCTACGCGCAGGAGTGCCGGCCGCGCGCCGTGCTCAACATGGCCACCCTCACCGGTGAGAGGCCGCCGCCGGTGGCGGGGCCGGTGGCGGAGACGGGTCTGAGCCCCCGCCGGACGGATGGGGTCCGCCGCGAATGGCGGTAGTCGTGGCGCGTGGCGGCAGGGTGACGCGCCCGGCCTTGATTGTGCTTTTTGAGGTGACGCATGGTGTTGAACTAAGGTGTATTCAAGGGTCTTCCGTGATGGCACGTTTGTCTCGAGAATGAGAATACCTTTGGTACCTGGCAATGCTCATGCATATTTGCTGTGCTGCTGTTCGTAGTGCGCTGTCCAGTGAACACGATGTCACGCACAAGCACGCACATCCACATCTTGAAAATCGCCCCATTCTGACGTCGAAGTAAAGCTCGCTCCTGACAGGAAGCAGTCGGTGTCGGCACCTGAAGTTACGTGCTGTATTATCTGTCGGATATGTGGGTGAAATGGCCGTCCCGTAATATCTAACTGGACGCTGTGCTCTTGCCAACAGGCGCCATCTCTGTGGCGCTGGGCTCGGCGGCCGTCGGCGTGTTCACCAACTCGACCGCCGCGTGGCACCAGCTGCGCGCGGCCGGCACCAACACGGGCGACCGCGTCTGGCGCATGCCCCTCTGGAAACACTACACCAAGTCGATGAAGGGTGAGTGGCGCTAGCCCCGGGTCGGGTCAATGGGGCGCGCGTCGTCCTGACAACGCTACACAGAGTCGGTGACGGGTGATGGTCCGTCTCGGGCGTCGGGTCCCGTTCCGAACGGGAAGCACGTGGCCACACGCACCGCACGGGCGCGTGTTTCGTGCGTGAGGCTCTGTTTGCTTTGTCTCCCCCGTTGTTACTGGTTCACGGACGGACTAAGCATGGAGGTTGAGAGGCAGGGACTCTCCGAGGATCAGACGATAGCACGTAAGTGCTTCTTACGGAGGCCACGGGTGTGGAAGCCTCTGCGTTGCTTACCTCGCAACCCTTTTTCGATGCCTGCATGTTTGGGAGGCTAGGAAGATGAGCCGTCTGCCAAGTAAGACATGTATTCTAACTCGCTGCAGCAGCCGCAGGTCTGGTGTATTGCTGAACTGTTTCGTCCTGCTTGATCCTCAATATGTGCGGTTCTTATAAGTGCTTGTCATGAGCAGCCAGGAAGGGAACTGGCCCGCGCAGGCTTTTACGAAGCTATTTGGGAAACTAGAGGGCGTTGCACCATGGCATCTTCGCCTTTTGCTCATTTAAGAATGTCTTAGATAAGCTTGTACTGGTACCAGAAACGGGTGCATATTGTAAGTACAGATACAGACTATGTAAGTATGACGGGCGCTGATGCCACGAAGACGGACTTAGCACGTGGTGACCAATGTGAGTTATTCTGTTATATTTTTTTCTGAAGGGCCACATATTGGCATGGACATTCATGACAAGTTTGACGGGTGGTTGTAAAGCAGTGCAGGTAATCAAAAAGGTTGTCGGCTTTCAAGTGAGCAAAGTAACAGATGCCACTGGTCGTGGTGCACCCTGCTGAGCGCTGGGTGGCGGTGTGCGCAGGCGGGCGGCTGGCCGACCTCAACAACCTGAGCTCCTCGGCACCGGCCGGCGGCTCCTGTACGGCCGCCGCCTTCCTGCGGGTGAGACTGGCCTCTCCCCGGTGTGCCCTTTCCCCGGGGTCAGGCGCCGTCCCCGCCGCCGCTCAGGCGGCCCCTGCTGAGCGCCGTCCTCCTGCCGGCAGAGTGCAGGCTGGCCGACCTGAACAACATCGGCTCGGCGACCGGGGGCGGCGCCTGCACGGCGGCCGCCTTCCTTCAGGTCTGGTCGGCCCCGCGGGTGGGGGGAGGGAGGACGGCGGAGGGGGACGGGGATGAAATGACTTGAGTTTGTTTGCTAGTTACTTTGGGGTGTGAGAGCGTCGAGTTTTTCGAGCTCATGATTGGAACCATGCGTTTAAGTTTTCGAACAGCACACATGAAACTGTTATGTATTGCAGTTTGTTTTGCTTAGCAACAAGTGTAGATCAGGCGTTTTGCTCAGCGTATCCAGTGCTCCTCACCTCGAATGTGTTTGCTTGGAGCCCATCAGTCGCCTCCGCTCATCACCATCCCTCCCCGCAGGAGTTTGTGGCCGAGGATTTGCCCTGGCTGCACGTGGACATCGCTGGCACCATGGAGAACACCACCGATGTGCCGTACCTGAGCAAAGGCATGAGCGGTCGGCCCACGCGCACCGTCCTCGAGTTTGCCGAGGCCATCTGCCGGCAGGGCTCCCGCTAACGCGCGGCCTCGGTCCCAACTGGCAGTTGTGGCGGTGACCGCTGAGCCGCGCCACCCGCGCCGCTGTTTGGTCGTCGGCCAGGAGCAAATGTGGAGCGGAGCCACAAAGCTCTTGGGCACGCGGAAGCACGCTTTGTGGCTCCGCATCGTTAGAGCTGCGGTGGGAGGGTGGCTTAGCTGTGCTTTGGATGCAGTGGAGTGGTTGCAGATGCCAAACTTGTGGGCAAATGATGTGACTGTATTGTCGAGTTTCTGACAGTGATCTTCCACGTTTTTCAGGCCGCTTGCGGATGCCTTGTGATATTGAACCAATAGCAGGGTTGGTGCGTTGGACATGGTGTGGGAAGTTGTCAATGGACGACGTTTTGACAATACGTTTTTAACAGCGACAGGTTTTGTATAACTAACAGGTCGTGCTCTTGCAACACATTGAACCCCATACAAATAAAGATTGTACAAATAAGGAAAACCGTTGGCAGTTTGTGATTTAGCCCGGCGACAGCCACTATCTGGCCTGTTTAGGGCGCACAACACAAAGAACAGGCGCTCTGGCTCAGTCACGACCTGGTTTGGTTAGAAGCTGCCTGCGACAGCATCGAGACATCAAACTGAAAATTGGTATAACGCCTGGACCTCAACGGTATTCTCGAGTGAGGAGTGGCGACAGCTGTTGTGCCGAGGCGTTTTGTCGAGCCAGTCACCCCGCCCCAGCTGGAGCTCATCAGCACTAGTCCCGCCGGTTTCGTCTGAGCCGCATCGTCGCGCCTGGTGACGGTCGAGGAGTGCGTTACGAGCCGGGGAAGCCCGAGTCCCTCCTCAGTGGTCCGGGCCCTGGAGGGAGAAATATTGCTGGTCCGTCGTGAATCATCAGGAACTAAGACGGCACTGGCGGCGTGCGAGTATCCACGCTTGTGGGCGAATGTTCTCAAGTTCGTAACAATTGCAATAATCATAATCGTGATCCTTGTTCTCACGCTAGTAATATTCCTAGAAGCTGAATGGACTGCTCTTTGAGCGTGGGCCGTCTTCCGCTCTCCTCATCAATCTCTGGTCGACACCAGAACTGTTACTTCTACCTACCTCCCCCTTTGAAGATGACCGCCGATAAGACTGCATGCATGTCATGAAGTTTGACAGCTCGCAACCACGTACATTCTCCTAATCTGACATGGTGGTTCAGCGATAAGATGCCTGGCAACTGTTCATTGATATTTCCACTAACCGGACTGGTGTCTGTCTGCACGAATGTGGACCATGTGCTGCAGCGGGCGCATCAATGCCTCGTTTTGGCTGAAATTTAAAATATACAGCTGGCTTACACGAGCACGACACCGGGCATTTCGCCAAAACGGCATGCGATGCTTCCTAGACATACTTTTCCACTTTGTTTTGTGTGGTAGATCCTATCTTTGCATGTTTCCCGGGATCCCAGTGCATCACGCAGAAGTCGTGACAGCGGAGCATGTTATGGATTGCTCAGCCCTTCAAAATTCTAGACGGCCATTTGTTCTGTACTGACATGCCTCATCGTATTACACCTAACCCTTTCACTGAAGGCAGTGATCAAGTCTGCGTCGGCTAGTAAGATGCGTCGGCGCCTGCTTACTTGGTCATCGCTAACTGAACAAGGCAGCATCCATCCCACAGCTGAGCAAACGCTGAAGCTTTGATGTTTATCAGGAAAGGTCGGTGACGTTTGTCGCCACAGGTTTGTGATTGCTGAGGATCCATTCTGTGCATCGACGTCTCAAACGTGACAGTGGATCCTTTCTTGACATCGAAAAAGGGCGCTATGTGACGGCAGCGATGTGCGACTAGAGGTGATAACATTAGAGAACAAAGTTTCCGTTTTACGCCGGTCTGGTGAATCAAGATACCAACTGAGCAGCACTCAAGCCAGCTTTCTGTCGTACATTAAGGTGTGTTGATTGACAACGTACAAGCATTTCTTACTTGTCACCAATACCTCACCGAGCGCTGAGTTTCACACTTTCTGGTCGCGATGCTTTGCTTATGTCCGGATGAAGTGAATGTTCTTATGACGCATGCAAGATTTTCTTGCTGCGGTGCCGGCAGTCTATCATGGATGCGTACCGATGGTGCCGGGTCGGCGGCTGAGTTGGTAATATTGCGGCAATATTTTCATGGCCCCTGCAATAATGCAAGGGTAAGGGAGATCCGGTTATGTTGGGAATGGGGGTGATAACATTTTGTTATTTATCTGCAGTCAGAGTCCATAGCCAATGTTAATTGTTTGGCAAGACTAAATTTTCAGGAAGCTGGAGGGGGCTTAACTTCCCGCCTTCTGACC